TTACTTTTCTTGAGCTGTTTCTTTAATAAGTTTGTGAATTTTTTTCGCTTTTCTTTTATTTTTCGGGGGCTTCGCCGTCGAATTTTGAATTTTCTTTTCCCCCAAGCTACATTCATTGGTATTTACTGTTCCCATTTTCCTTTTTTTTCCAGCTAAAAATTTTATCTTTTCGTTAATAGGGTATTTTTGTTTGTTTCGCTAGTAAATTCATACGTTTTGGATTTTTTTTTTTTTTTTGTGGGAGCGTTGCAGGCCTTGGATTTTATTGAGTGCTCATGGGCAGAAAGTTCGTTACTTTGCTTTTATTTTTGGTATAATGGAAAATTCATTCATGTTTGGTCCTACATTAAACAAGGTGGGGTCATTTAAGTTCGGTTTGTTATAAACTAAATTGATCTTTGTTGATTCTTCATTTATTGAGCCACTAACTTTAATAAACCCAGTTTTGATATTGGGTGGATAATAGCCGAGCAATTACATATTTATGGAAGCTTGGAATTGGAGATATACCCTTTAAAAGTTCAAATTTAGAAATCAATTCTTGGTGCTCAACTTCTGTAGTTCTTTTGCTTTGTAAACGCCTGAGCATTTCAGTTGCCTGAGCATTTCAGTTAGCTGATGTCAAACATATTTAGGTATGAAGAATTAGAAATAACAATTATTGTTCTGCTGGTTGTCCTGTACTGTTGGTGATTAATTAGTGATGTATTTACATTTGGCGGTATTTTGGCTTCAATTTGGGTATATGTTGTGCTTATGTGTATTTTTGTAAGGCCCTTCTAATGGTTTTTTTTTTTTTTTGTGTGAAGCTTTGCCAGGTATAGACACTGAGAAGGAAGAGTGTGACTTGTGAGTGAGAAGGTCAGATGGAGCAGTATGAAGTTTTGGAGCAGATTGGGAAAGGTTCTTTTGGTTCTGCACTTCTTGTGAGGCATAAGCATGAAAAGAAGAAGTGAGTGATTTTCCAGTTTATGTCTTGAGGCTAAGATGAATGTTTGATGAGAGACTCTCTAAATTAAATTGTCCTTTGTTTTTTTGGTCGTTACCATTTACCTTTTATCGTTATCTTTTCTCCTTCATAGGTATGTTCTTAAGAAGATCCGTCTTGCTCGACAAACCGACAGAACCCGTCGATCTGCTCACCAGGAGGTTCTTATGTTTATCTCCATGTTTATGTTTATTCTTGAAGATATATATAAATAAATAAAAACAAGATATTCATTTTGAGGCTGTTTTATGTTTTCTTGAGTTAGTGAAAGCAAGTACTTATCTTTTTTGAAGCGATTCTTGCGAGTTGGGAGCAAACGATGTGGTTTGATCTTAGTGATTCATTATATGACAAATTACAAATACTCACACTAGTATGATGCAATGTTTCTCTTGCACGTTGAATTCTTTATGAGCTATTATTATCCTTTGTAATCATTTGTGATTTCTTGTTATCTAGGCCTTGATCTCTTAAATTAACTTGCTGCAATGGTTGTCAAATTTATTAAATGTAATAACTTTGTTCCCGTGGTAGGTAATTTGACGCACCTTATTTACTAACTTGTTTTTAAGTTGTTGTTTTTTATTATGTGGCAGATGGAGCTGATTTCTAAAGTACGGAATCCATTCATTGTGGAGTACAAAGATTCATGGGTAGAAAAGGTTATAATCTTATGAGAAATCTTATTCATTTTTAAAATTACATTATTTCAGTGTCAAATAGCATATGTCCACCTTCATTTGCTTTGGTCTATGGTTCACTCGTTTCTACAGAATCTACACTGAGCATTTTTAATTATTTTCTTTCTCAATAAACCATATTATTGAGTAATGATGTTTCAGTGCTTACTAGAAGTTTATGTTTCTAATTATTTTGTCTGATCATATGACTGACGTGTTGGCACCCCACTTGTAGGGTTGCTTTGTATGCATTATTATTGGATATTGTGAAGGAGGAGACATGTGAGTAATTTCTC